TGTAAAAATTAGTTTTTTTCCCAATGTTACAGAAGGCAACTGAAAATTGCTTAAATGTGCTTAATTGTCATTTTAAAAATGTCATGATGCCAAAAATAATAATAATAACCTTTGCAAGTTTTTTTATTATTTAGATTTTTGACTAGGATTTTCTTGACAATTCATGAAATTTAACTATAAACATAGTAATTATGTTTGCAAATCTGTGGGGTCTGAATAATTTATATTAAAGGGGTCATATGATGCTGCTAAAAAGAACATTATTTTGTGTATTTGGTGTAATGAAATGTGTTTATGCGGTTTAAAGTTAAAAAAACACATTATTTTCCACATACTGTACATTATTGTTTCTCCTCTATGCCCCGCCTTCTGAAACACGTCGATTTTTACATGGCGGCAGCAACAATACTACAGCTAGAATAAAAGTTATGCCTTCTTTCTTTGCGTGAACATTTGGGCGGTGTTATGTAAATCTTCCCACATAGTGAGGTAGATATGTGGGGGCGTGTTCGAACGAGCCGTTTTAGGTAGGCGTGGCTGACTCTTAACTTTTATAAAGAATATCTCTTTGGATTTGAGACTTTAGTCTTTGCAACTTTACAGATCTTCTTTATGCACCAAGAGCTTGTAACACTCCAAAGAGAAAGGAAAAAATTAAATTGCATCATATGACCCCTTTAAAGCAGTACTCATAAAACCATCTTGTAACCGTGTTTTGTTAAATCACTGTTGTAAGCCTATGGTAATTACTTGTATTTTAGATAATTACTTGTATTTTAGATAATTACTTGTATCTTGCACACACAAAAAAGTTTCACCCATCACTAGACGTGCTTTTTAAAATCATTACAAGCAACGTCGAAATTCGAAAATGGCTCTTTTGAACTAACTATTGCTAGTGACTCGCTTGAAATCAGTGATCGAAGTCACGAGTTTGAATTTGAATCAATCGGAGCGGTTGTAAATGACTCACTCAATAAGAGTTTGTAGCTTCATTTACTATATTTGAAATAGTTTGAGCTGCAGTTCAGTTGCTGACAGTTCAAAAGAAATCAGTTGAAAGCATCCAGTCTCTCATACCACTGTGAATGTTCAATTTATCAGTATATTGTAATAAATATTTGAAAAATTATCGTTGTGTATTGTCAATGTAAAAAGAGCAAATGGGAGAAGCATGAACACAATTCTGAGGAGAAACGCCAGAACTACAGATTTGCAGTTCAAAAGAGCTCCGAGATTAAAAGTCGCAATATCTTTCAAATGTAAACTCAGAATTCTGA